CCCTCATTTTCTCTCCTTCCTTAATTATTTTTGTAATGCAACACATTAGTCACGTGGTTTGTGAATCTGGTCAAATCGGTACATAAACGTTGATTATACTGTACTTACTGCATGCTGGCCTATAAGAATGCATCTTGTTTTTCTATATCTATATACTGTTAATGATAAGAATGCATTGATGCATGCATACATACTGTACGTACACACATGCATATAAATAAACACAGACACATCAGAGTCCTGATATTTCACCCAATTTCTTTTTCACATCTGTGACTTTCAAGTGATAAATCGTCAGCCTGTTACAGTCATTCATTCCTTTACAGGTTGATTATTATCTCATTACAAGGAGTTTGGCTCTGTTTAACAATGATAGTTTTACAATGTAACAACTCAATATTGATTATCTTTTAGGTTATGTAGTAGAATAATCTGAATACTCGTCTAAAAAAAAGTTAGCCAAAAATTGTTGGGGTGTGTTTAGGTTTTTGCTATAAATCCTTGATTTTCATATCATGTATTGCTACAAGGACACTAAACTTGAACTCACCTTAACTCCGACATTGGTTCGGCAGTCTTATTAAAGTTGTGTTGCAGTGTTATTCACAAGAAGCTGTCACCGGTAACTACAGGTCTTTCACAAGATTAAAATTAAACATGTTAATGATATTGGTTGTAGATATTAGACTGGATTTTTCCAATAATTGTGTTTTTTTTTTTTTTAAATAGACCATGTTCTGGTTTGGTAGCATCAACCAAATTGGCAGGCAGTCTTTTTCCCATACGTCACGTGTGTACTCCAGGAATTGTAGGGGAAAAGTAACTTTCATATTATGTTATTTGAGACTATTTCAGTAATTTAGGTCTACCAGGTCTCAAAGTGTGGAGACCTGATGATGCACTAATTAATGAAACAGAAAATGCAACTGTGCTAAAACCAGGTACATGTTCTCCATATGGTAAATGACTCAACTATGTCTTTGAATATGGAATATAGAGTTAGTGAATTCTGATCATCACAAAAAAAAGCTTTATAGGTGTATTAGCTGCCGGGTTCAGTATATTTTATAATAAACCTTACGTTTCACTTAAATGTTTGTTTTTGAAGCCATTTCTGAGCATTGACACACAGAACATATAGCACTTGTTTTAATATCAGTCGTGCTCCGCCTAGATCCAGACACTGCTTGTCTCCCCACAAAACAAACAGTGGACACAACAGACACACTGACGGCTGTGTTTTGTTCCATTTTTTTTTTCACTCCGCCCTCACAAAAACCCAACATAGTGACTCATCGGAAATGTCTAAGAGAAGAACTACCACTGCCAGTACCTTAAGCTATAGTAAAACTGCTGTAGTTTCTCTTGTCTTATTAACATTTGTATTGATAATACATAATATAAAAAAAAACATGTTGGTCCGTTAAGTACACAGGCAATAAAATAATTACATTATCATTGCTGTCTCCACCTTTGAATATTTCACTCATTCAAATACACACCCTAAATATCCAAGCTTGTCTATAGAAATTGGCAACAGTTGGCTCAAACATTAGTTTTTTTTATCAAAAAGCTCAGCCGCGCTCTTGTTCTGCTTAAAAAAAAGCGATGTAAAGAGGTGGTGAGCTGTGGCGATATTCCGTGTGCTACATTGGTGACCCTGTTCATGTCTCACTAATTATAGCAGTCCTGTGTATTTCGGGCCAGGGATTATTTATACCCGTCCCTCATCACTCATTCAGCCTAAAGTCGACAAGTTGACTGACTTAGACAGGCCTGCCAAGGCCTCATAAGAATAATTGAAGTGGTGAGGCAGATCAGAGATATGTTTGCGGGGTTATTAAGAAAACAATATTTAAAAGGAAACATGAGTACGAGTCAGAGCTCTGTCATCACCCATAATCTCATGATTAATTCTGATTATTATACACGTGTTTGGTTTTGACCCTTTTGCAATTGATGTTTTTGCATTAACCACAGCGTTTTGTCAAAAAAACATCATCAGTTTCCAGTGTGAAACCACCAACACAGGCCACTCATCGTCCAGCATATAAATATATTTAAACTCAGCCGCAGGATCTCTTCACGTCCAACTTATGGGTTTTATCTGACTCAAGAAAAGTTAATAACCGCAAAGGCAAAACACAAATCTCAGCACAGTGCCCTGTCTTGGGAAAATGATCCTTTGTGTCTCACTTCTCAGTTCAGTATGCAGATAAATGCACACTATGCTGTTTCTGAAAATATTCCTTGCTTTTTTTATTGGCCAGTGTAATCATGACGGACAGGTCTGTTTGTGCAAAAGTTTATGAGAGATGCAGCAGCAATCTCAGCTGCTGCATCTCAGCATCTCAGAGTAATTTGTTTTCTCTGACATTTTTGTTGTGCCTTAGATTGTAGATGTTTTTTTTAACATGACAAAATAGTCAATAGTTTTGGTAGTTATTTTTCTTATTAGTTGATAATGTAATTTAAATCATCAACTTTCTATTTTTATTTATTTGAATTCTATTTACTCATGTAGTACAATGTGTATCTATACATTGTTTTATCATTTTAAATTGTAAAAGTATATATTTTCATGGCTTATTTTATTTACTTGTGTTTGATTTTTGTTAAATATTTGAATGTTATACTGTCAGTCTGATACTTTTTACTGGTCATGCTCTCAGTTCCTTTTTGGCACAAATCCATTATTTTTATTTAAATAAATAAATAAATAAAGAGAAAGCCAGAATATACTTACCTATTATCTATTTTCTTATGTTTGATTTTTCTTTTAACAGGCTGATCAGTTGACCGAAGAGCAGATTGCTGGTGAGCACTTGTGTTTTTATGGTTGTGCAGCTTCTTATCAACAATATGAAACATTTAATTAAATGATAAAATTTAATAAAGACCTGAATGAGCCTGTGAGATTCTGGTAACTATTTTAAAATAGGTCACGTCTCAAACCAACGTCCATAATCTCTCTTCTGTGAACGTACAGAGTTCAAGGAGGCCTTCTCACTCTTTGACAAAGACGGTGACGGTACGATCACCACCAAGGAGCTCGGGACAGTGATGCGTTCTCTGGGCCAGAACCCCACTGAGGCTGAGCTGCAGGACATGATCAATGAGGTGGACGCTGATGGTGAGGACAGGAGAGAAGATTAATTCACTTCATCCATTTGTGTCGATATTGTCTCCCATTAATTTTATTCTTAATTCCCTTCTTCACGTGACATTTTCAGTTTTGAAGGCTCTTGCATCTTAAACTTACAACTTTCTGTGCATGTTTAGGTAACGGTACAATTGACTTTCCTGAGTTCCTGACCATGATGGCCAGGAAGATGAAGGACACAGACAGCGAGGAGGAGATCAGAGAAGCCTTCAGAGTCTTTGACAAGGTACATTGTTATCATTACTTCAGCTTAAGAGTCACTTAAAAAATCTGAATCTTCGTTTCTGTTCACACACTAGATTCAGTTTTTGTAAATTTGGACATCAGTAATCTTTAAAAATAACAGTGTTGTATTTCATTAGCAGTGCTTTATATATATATATATATATATATATTAGTTTGTCCTTTTTACTTAGACATTCCACCTCTTGTATATCAATTTATATGCCATTTCCTCTGTGGCCACGAGAGGGCACTGTTTACACTCGTAAACTCGTAACTCGTTTTATTGTATATATATTTATATATTTGCAGGACGGTAACGGCTACATCAGTGCAGCTGAGCTACGGCACGTCATGACTAACTTGGGAGAGAAGCTGACTGATGAGGAGGTGGACGAAATGATCCGTGAGGCCGACATAGACGGTGACGGTCAGGTCAACTACGAGGGTGAGCTTTTTACCTTTTCCCACAACTGGCCATTAGAATCTTTTTTCCATCTTCTCACGCACGTAGGCTTCTGTAGCTGAAAAACCCACGTGGAGGTCCACGATTTCAGCCTGTGCTTCTCCGTTTGCAGAGTTTGTGCAGATGATGACCGCCAAGTGAAGGCAACACTGAAACTTCTCTCAGCATTGCTTGTCCTCCTATGATCACTGTCTTCAAGAAACAAACAAAAAAGGAACAATAATCGAACGATACACTAACTTCCCTCAGATTCACTCACAAGTAGAATTTTTCGCAGTTTGAGCTTCAGTACATCCAACTACTTCAAAGGTCTCTGTTTAGCAAAATTCCAACAGAATAATCCCTAGAGAAGTTAATGGACCAAGCTTTAGGAGGGTGGCAGCCCTCAAACTTCAGACCAAGTTTCTGCAGAGTCACCACAGCTACTGATTTAGTTTAGGAGAGAGCAACACTGTAAAGGCAGCCAGATATATAAAAAAAAAAACAAAACAAAAAATCATGCCACAGCTTCTAATGAGATTTTTTATTTTCTAAATTATCTTTGACCGAGTCCCACCACTGAATTGAGTAACTCCTCTTGCATGCATCCTGTTTGTGGCAGTCTCTTGTATTAACAGGGAGGCTCTGACCCATGCAGAGTACGTGGTCAGAGTGTGTACACACTGGAGGTATATCAACAAGTATATAGCTATATATCTGTACAATTTGTGTCACTATCGATCGTTGCAAGAGAAAATTGCTGCAGCGTACGGTGTTGGAACGGTGCTCTGGTTCAGATGAGTGATGTTTTTTTTTTTTGTTCTTAACGTCTTGAAGAGAGAACGAGAGACGAAGCAAATGCGGAAGGTTTTTGTTCTCTTCGAGGATGTTCTATTGTCCACAGAACAGATCGGAGACGGTGGTTTGTTCGTATTGTTCCAGGACAATTATTGTGAAAACACACGCTGAGGACTGCAGTTAATGCTCTCGTTCTGCAAACAGATAATCCTGATGATATGATATTGATGTAATGCTTTATAAATGTGTTCTCAGATATTAATATTATATTATTATTAATGTATTGATGACAAACCTCAGTCATAAAAATATATCTATATAGTATATATTAGAGTGTCGTAAAGTTTGCATTGCCTATCGTTGTAGTAAAATGACCTGTGACATGGTTCCTCTTTGGTTTTGAAATGTGCCATATTACCCCCGCCCCCAGACCGCTTTTCCTTCAACAAAAAAAACTACCCCGCCCCCAGACCGCTTTTCCTTCAAAAAAAAAAAACTAAACAAAAATAAGTTGAGGTTTGCTCTAGTTGGTTAGAATGTAATCATCTGTTGAATAAAAGCAAATTAACTATACCTAACATTAAAAATACTTGATATAAACCGTGTGAATATAACAAAGATTTTATTCTGGAGAAGAAGAAAAAAACCCCAATGTCACTGTTGCTGCTGCTATGACGACTCGTGTTTCACTCATATCTTGTCCTCGTTGGTGTCAGATTTTCCCATTTGTAGCTCGGTGTTTCAAACTTCCAATTGCTTGCAGTTTTAATGCCCATGGCAACATATACTGTATATTATCAACTATCTGCTGATGTCGGGGCGATGTTGCATACGCTTTTAAATGGGAAACGGGGGAGCGTAACTGTAGTTGTAGCAAAGCATTGACTCTCTGATGCAAGTTTGGAAACAGACATTTGCGAAGCATGTGATCACAGACGACGGGTTGAGAAAATAAAGTGCTGTTTGCCTCTGGGCAAATAGACGCTTTTCTTTCTGACGGTATCTGAGAAAATGTAAAGATGTGATATATTTTCCATAAATCAATAAATTGACTGAGCTTTACTTCATCTGCATGTCATTTTCATGTGATGAGTGGATTTTTTTCTCTCTCTTCTCCTTTAAACCCTCAGGATTTCCAAACTGATGGAGAACTGGAGCAGACAACAAACTTACACGTTTATTTAACGTGCAAAATTATATATATATGAAAGAAGCTGTCTTGTGAACTACCTGCAGTACCTTCGTGGTCCCCAAGGGGTCTCATAGGTTTTCTATCGAAAACCTATGTTCTAATCTCTATTGAGCCTCTTCTTAAGACTTTATCATAGTGGACACAACTGAAGTATTTTACCCAGAAGACAGTATTATTTTTTCTCCTCTGTACCATGAAGAAATGAAAAATGAACACTGTAAAAACGCACTCTAACGGTTTTAATTCAATGACACAAACCTAATTGACGTAACAGTAAGCCCTGCTGTAATACTGTGCTCTGTCATCGTTGTTCCAGAAAGCTCTAATCTCATCCAGACACTCACGGACTACGTCACACCAGGTCAACGCAGAAACTATTACGGGCTCAGTCTATCTTTAGCAGCTCCTGAGACTGCCATGGGAGCCTGACGTTAATCCAGGTCAGCCCGGGTCGTGACCTCTAGCTCGCACATACTCATCGCTCAACGTGCAGTCGTAGCCTTCCTAGATTTAAGATGGATACGGGGCAGATGTAAATGAAGCACAGGATAGTGGTGGAGTAGATAAAGTGGAGGATTTAGGAAAGAGGAGAGCAAGTGAGAGGAAAAATAGAAAGTAGCGTTGCAGGCCCAGGCAGATGAGGTTGACTGTTTACGGAACTCCATTAGTTTTTTGCAACACGTCTTGCAGGGACAAGTGAGAATGAAAATGTCCCCCCCCCCCCCCCCCCCCCCCCCCCCCCCCCCCCCCCCCCGAGAAAGAAAAATTTTTTTTTACACCCCCCCCCCCCCCCCCCCCCCCCCCCCCAAAAAAAAAAAACAAGTTCCCAACCATATATTACTTTGCTAAAGATCTTGCCTTAGATATGTCATTTACATCTGCAAATCCCTAACGGCTTACACTCACACCTGCGGTGAATTTAAAGTATGATTAGCCTAGGCCTGCAGGAGGCTGCGAGAGTTCCCAGAAAAAACAAGACTCACAGGCGGAAACATGCAGTCCCCACAGAGAAGCCATGGAACAAAGTGAATTCCAGCAGCAGAAACCGGCAGTGAGTATTTTATCTTGGAATTTTGAACATAATTAAATGTTTTTTGTTTCCTTTTCTTATCGAGTAATGAAATAACATGATAATGATAATCGCATCGTTCAAAACATCGCTCTCCGTGTTACTATCCTGTACCGATACGTGTTGACAATGTACTGTTTGAAAGTATCCCTTTCCATGGAAAAAAAAATTAAAACACCTTACCTTAAAATATCGCTAGATGGTGCTGTTCCATCACTGTCTGTATACTCAAGAAGCTGCATTTGATTTTGATTAAGGTTACAAATTTTACAAGAACAGGAAGAAGATAAGATATTGTAACCGAAACCAGACAAATAACGATTTTTAAACACATCTGGATCTTATTCTGCATGTTTCCTCCTTTTTGTTGCTCCAATTTTGTAATTGCCTGTTTCTGGGATGGGGAGCCCTTTTCTTTTATCTTCCATATTTATTTGTGTATTTTGACCTTTTTAGTTAAAGTAGACAATCTGTCTTACATTCCCCTGGTGCAAGTTTGTGTCAACAAGCAAATAGGTCTGCTCGGAAGGCAGAAGGTGATTGGTGGAAAACTCCAGCATCAGTGACGTAATTTCTGCTCATACCAACTCATTACATCATACATAACATGATGTAATCATAATTAGAACTGTAAGAACTGTAGAATTTTAATTAAAATATTTTTAAAATAATAATGACAAAGAGTGTATTATAAATAAAATCCAGAGGGTGACGTGTCATGACAGCAAAGAGGTATTTATGTGGGGTTGACAGACGAGTGACGAGAAAGCATAGAAAACTACAAAAATAGATGTAACCGCGTGACTAGGTCTGATAACGCGTTCACTGGGTACGTGGGATTAACCTCCAAGTTAATGAAATAATCACGTCTGTTTCATGTACTTGTACATTCACTTATTAACTCTGTAACGCCACACTTTGGACGGTGCTACATTCGTTTTCTTTTGTTTGTGTATTTTTTGGAAACCCTTTGCCCTTCATTATGACTCCCAGGCGAAAGTCAGACTCTTCTGACGTTTTTATTTCCTACGTCATTATTTCCTACCCTGCATTTAATTTTTTTTTAATGTAACAAAAAATCTCGCACACCCGCTTACTCGCGCCACATTTTAGGAATCTCTGTCCTTGATAATGATGTCTCCATTGTGTTGGCGTAGGTGAGTGACATAGTTACTTGTGTACAGTGTGAGTTGTCCAACGTAAGTGGAGTACCCCCTATTTTAGTCCGAGGGTTGCTGTTGTGCGTGTGTTTTTTGTCTGTATTTTTTGTCTGCAGCTATTGAGAAATGTGAATGTTTGGTTTGATGTCTGACTTTTACTATATTGACCCAGCTTTAATTAAACCACACGTTTTTTTATTTATTTATTTATTTATAAGGCCTCTTTCTCCTCAGTAATATAAAAAAGGGAACTGTAATTCTCCACCTCATAATGTTATCCTAATGATCTGGGAAATGACAGAGTCAGTGACAATAAAAAGAGCTGTAGGCTGAGTCAGAATAGTGTTTACAAAAAAATTAAAGAAACCATTAAGTGCTTTGAGAAAAAGTGCTTTACTGGATCCTAATGGTTTATTCCCAGAATGCAACGGTCAATAATAAGTGGTTTCAGATGAAGCCACATCTCATAACTGACCTCAGCCATTTGTTCCATGAGAAACACCTAGGTGTGTTTTAGTGGAAGAAATTGGCTACTGAAACCTCAGAGCCTTTTAAATTGTTTTCAGCATCAACCTATATATAAATATATATATATCTGTGTTAATTTATCATACGTTTAAGTTAAAGCCTGTTTAAAAACGTCATTTTAATATTTAAAACTCGTTAGGCGTCATCTCTCAGGTGTCCAATAGATGTCACTATAACTTGTGTGAAGTTGATCCTTGTTATACAGTTAATTTAGCAGGTTTTTTTTAAAATGTATTTTTATACTTGAGTTTAGTGAGAACTGGAGTTCCATTTTAGAAGAGACAACATATCAGTGGTGGTTCCCGGTGTAGACCATACATTCAAACACATTACTACAGAAACAAGCGGGCGTCCACGATGACATCATGATACAGTTTACTGAAAATAAGTCCTGTCTATTAGCTGTCAGGAAAGACCGGTGACCTTTTTTTTAACCGTGTGCTAGTATCAGGTCGAATGTTGGTAACGGAGGAAACATCACTGCGCTGTTCGATGATTGCGGTAGGATCATAGATCAGGTCATAGAGAACTGAAAGTAAAGTGAAAATGTTTCCATTCCAGTTTGGTCCGTTAGGAAGGGGAAGTCTGGCGCTTACCACATTTCTGTTTCACTTTCCTGTCTGGAGAGTGACATTTCACGTCAGTCTGCCATTTTCACTAACGGCTTCCCGACGGTGTCTGCCCTCATCATCTTCATCAGCAGTATTGAATTGTTGATCAACTGTGGTTACAAAGTAGAATCTTTAAATAGGCCGTTGGCACTCTTCACTCCTGTCATCTGTTGACCACAGATCCTGATGTAGTTTTGGTCTTTCAACGAAAAGAAAAGCCTTACGGAACCGACTGAAAACTGGCTTTGAAAGCCTTTCGTCATTTAACACCTTATGATGGTTTAGACCTGTTTTTCGAGTTTATTTTATATTGGTCGAATGTTTATTTTGTACATATATACACACATATATTTACAGTATGAAGTCTCCATTGATTTCATCTTATTTTTTCTATTTTTTTCACTTCTTGCTTAGTTTGAGGAAATAGTAGAAAAAGGGGTTTGTTTACTTCCACTTGAGCTGAGGCCGTTCTAATCAGACCGTTGACTCGACTGCTCATATAAATGGGCCAATAGAAGGAGAATGACACTGTGCAATTATTTTTCATTTCTTTTCACATGTTTTTTTTTTAGCCCATAAGCGTCACTGTTTTTGTTCTTAGAATTTGGAGCCCGATCTTCTAACTGAATGCCTCTTACACAGCCATACCAGCCGAGGCCTGTCGAGGCAAAAAACAAAAAAACGCTAACCAGCGAAGCAGCATCTGTTGGGGAAAAAAAACAGCTTTAAATTCAAGTAAGATTCAGTTTTCAAACACAGTAAGCTAACACCGGCCTCATCTACCATATCTCTGTAAAATGAACCTGAGTATTGTCTGTAGGTCTGGGAAAATCCCACTTCTGTGTCAGTGTGTACACATGTGGGTGTGTTGGTCCTGTCAAGTGTCTGTCAGCACTCTACATCTGATCACTTTAGCATATCTTAGCCAACACCCATGTTTGTACATATAGACTTAGAGTTATGAATCGGTTGTGATAACAGAACCGCGGCTCGGATCTGATTTGTTGTGCAGGTTCTATAGAGCTTTACCATGTGATGTTGGACGTGGATGACGGGGGAAAAAAACAAACCACTGAATCACATCATGTTGATCGAAGTCAGATTTGTAAGTGAACGACGGTGAGAAAAAACAAGAGATTTTTTTTACTTTTTCAACATGACCCTTTAAATGGACGTGTGGATACTTCACTGAGGGGTGTATATAAGAGACAGGAAGCAGGGATCTTCAATCGTCCTCCCACTCACTCACTGACGTACACTAGGTAATCTGTCACAGTCTGATGAAGGTTTTCATTAGCACTTCATTAGGAGCAGATGTTTCTGAAAGGGGAACAGCTGAAGCTAAGACTGCTAAATGTTGTTGTTGTTGTTGTTGTTGGTTTGACTAATATTTGAGGGGGGAGTCAAAAAGTTCTGATACAAAATTGAACCCATTTAATTCATCTACTTATCTAGAAGAGTAACTGTGTTTTTCGTTTTTTTTGTAAAACTTTTCTGGAAAATCTTTCACATCAGGTCAAATCCTGTTTTTTTTTTTGTGTCTTTTGTAACAACTGGAATCCAAGTCGGTTCTAGATGTTCTTTCAGCTCAAGTTAGCTTTGAGAACTTGGCGACGCCTCAGAAACATGTCCTAACATGTTCGGGTAAAGAGAGTCCGACACTGATGAAATGATCTCATGCATCCATCTGGGAAATTCATGACTTTGTCTTGTGTTGTATTGATAAATGTGATGAGCGCAGAGTCACAGCTGTAATTAAGTTGAGCTCAGTGTGTGTGTGTGTGTGTGTGTGTGTGTGTCATCCCATGCATCTCAGTCATTGTGCTTCACCTGAGTCCAAACAATCGCCCTCGACCGCGGCTCACTGACCGGTGTTTGCCGTCGCGACTCTTCAAAGCCGCAGCACGTTGTCGATTCTATCAGCGTGAAATTGAGCACAAAGGCAGGATTTCAAACCCGCGTCCTTCACGACATGCACCGCTGGAAAACATGCGGGCCGGCTTACATGGCTATTAACATTTCCATGACTGAGACAGTTGATACTTATCTGTCATTAGAGGCACATGTGTTGTATTTCTGGAGGAAATGGTGGACGAATGCAACGCAGTGTGCACAGAAAATACACAAAGGAAAAACTCCTCCGGTCTTTCTCTCACTTGCATCACACATCTGTGAGAACTCAGGCTCGGGGAAGTACTGCAGTAATGGTAGCTTAAGCAGTACAATGTCCTTTTTTTAAAATGAGTAAGTAAAGAGTAACATTGTTGGTTTTATTAAAGGTTGGTAGTTTGATCCCAGGCGTCTCGTCTGAAGTAACCCTAGTGGCCATGTCAGCACATAGATATGTACACACACACACTATACTGTACACATGTGATTCCGGCATTTACTGGTGCATTCTTTTTTTTTTTTTTCCACAATGCAAAAATGATTGCAAATTTTAATCCCACCCTAAATCTGTCTGTTTGTATACATGTGTCAAACTAAGGGCCGGGGGCCGTATCTGGCCCGCAAGATCATATCAAATGTGTAATAGAGTTGGCCCCCATTATATTTGTAGTATCACAGTGATGATGTATGCGCTATGTTATTTTTTGTTGTTGTTGTTGTTGTTGTTGTTGTTGCTAGCCTGTGAAAAAATATTTACATTAAAAAGGAACTCCAAAGGCTACAGATAATGAGACATAATAAGAAACTGATGTGTTTTATTTCAAATTAAATTTCTACATCACAGATCTGGAGAGAAGGTAAACATGGACAATTCCAGTCAGTTTATAATATAAATTAAATATAAAGTTTGGCCCGTGACTTGGTCCCAGGTTTTATGAATTTGACTTTGACACCCCTGGTATACAGTAAGTCTAGCTGTCAGCTGAGCTGACTGAGATACAGTTAGAAGTGCAGCGTTGTCAGATTCAGAGGATGTTGTGGTGCAGCGGCAAAAACTTTAGCTTTAAGTTGCACCCTTTTGTAAGCAAACACTGTACTTCTGTGGAGTCTGTTTACTCGTTTATTTTATCACCCAAAACAGGTCTTATCTAACCAGGCTTTTTGGAATGCGGCGTTCATGTGTTTGTATTCTAAACAGGTCTGGTGATTATTAGGGCTGATGTCATAAAGCTACAGTATTCCTCCAACTTTCCTATGAAGCCTTAAGATCCGCCTTAAAAACGGACTAAATCATATGTCGCACAGAAACGGAGTAATGTGTCTGAAAACACCATCGAAACTGCTGTAAATTATTGTTAAAATATTTAAATAGATAAATAGATACTGATAAAAACAAACAAACATTTAAATGCCACAGATTTGCATTTTCAACCTATATGGTTTAAACATTCAAACATTATGACACGTCAATGCAAAAAAAAAAAAAAAAAAAAAAATCCAAATGTGTGCTTCACACCGCTGCCTGCAAACAGTATGAAAAGGCATTATGCAAATCCGCCCAGTCAAAGACTGGTTTCCCTGCTGTGTTGCAGGTGATTCTCTCTCAGCCTCTAAGATGATGGTGTGGTTTGCTGTACTGGCAGTGCAACAGTAAACATCCTGCATTCTGTTCGTGTGCCAAGTGCATCAAGGCGGTTAAGAGTAAGTTGTCGACGCTTTTGTTTCAGAGCTGCGTCTGTCAGTGAGCAGATAGTTGAAAAACAAACACCTGCTCATCCTTGTTTGAAAAACATCACACAGGCTCATGTCGACAAACCAAACCAGCGCTTGTGCTTCGGCACCGCCATTTGCGTAAGGCAAAACAATCAAAGCAACCTGAGCTCCATTACTCCACCCGGAATAAATGTTGGCACCGCAATCATTCTCATGTGCTTCTGTGTCTCTGAGATAAAGAAAAGAGAAAACGCAGCGGCTTGAATTACTGAGGAAAGAAACTGAGCTGCAGGATTCCATTACTAGATTTTTATGATTTCATTTGTGTTGCATCTCCTTTCAGAGGTCATCCAAAGAATCTACAATCAGAGTGCAACAAAGACTCCATCACCATGAGAACCTTTGCACAGGGCTAGGTCCAAAGCAAGTAAGCATCGGGGGTGAAACTGCCATTAAATGCTTCTGTAGTTAACAGAAAAGTACCAAAGATAAAGTACTAAACATCTGCTGTTTCTTTTATTGTGCGATGCACGTCAACACAGTTTAGATTTGATAGAAACAGAGAAATGAAATGTAAAAATATTAGCCAGATTATTGTAGCCAGCTACAAGTTAGCAAAACAATTAGCCCACAAATAGCTAAAACGTATTAGCTAACAGCAACAGCGTTACATTAGCCTAAAACGTAGCCCAAAAAGTTTGTTAATTCAACGCCGCGATGCACGTCAACACAGTTTAGATTTAGATTAAATAAGAAAGTGTGCTATAGAATTAAAGCGTAAACAACTGTTAGCTCAAAAGCAGCAATGACATGATAATTTAAGGATTAATGGCGGGAATTTGAAGCATTACCCAGATTATTGTCAAAAATGAGTCTATTAGATCACTTTGCATAAAGAAAGCTAAAAAAAAAATTAAACTTGCTAAATTGTAGCTCATTTTAGTTTATCAGAACTGGCATGGAGCTAAAAGCTAATAAAAAAAGAAGACAAACATTTTCTCTAGCAAATCTCAGCTTTAAATTGAGAGGTTGGTGAAATAAAAGAATATATAGTCTCTATGTTTAGAACAGTGGTGTCAAACATAAAGCCCGCGGACCAAAAACGGCCCGCTCGGAGGTTCAATGCGGCCCGTTTGATGAATGTTAAAAGTTGAAAAAATGCACAAACATTGCACTGTATGTGATGTTTTGTCTACTATTTAATTAAATATACGTATTTTTTCTAATATATATTTGTTCTTAAACCAAGAGGGAAAAACATGGACTTATTGTTATTTATAGGTCATTTTGTTCAGATTGTGACAGTCCAGCCCACTTGACATCTAATCAGACTGTATGTGGCCTATTTTTTTGTTTTGTTTTGTTTTTTTTTAAAGCAGACTAATTGGGCCTGGACTCAAACCCTAGACCTTTTAGTGGAAGAGATAACCTCTTCATCAGCTGCCCCCGTGATGAAGCAGAAACGGTTGTCATTTCCTGGCCGTGCTGTCTGTTGTCTTTGATAGTGTGTGTGCTCAGTGGGTGTGATCCACACCGTCGCTACGTTGCTACATCAGTCCAAACTGGGGTCACTTATCGACGACCATACAGCAGTCTCTTTATTACCACCCGTACATCAGCACACAGAGGAGATGACATCATTCTCACAGGACCATCTCTGTGGTGATGACCTGTACCTGCAGATGCAGCATCACTCGTCCGCCGCGTGCCCCTCCGACTAAAACAATATTTTATTTAATTGAATATGTTCCGTTCATGCAGACGTGAATTGTACGTTATCTCCGCCGTCTAAACTGTAACAACAAAGCAGCAGAGAGTACAGTCGCTGACATTGTCTCCTAATCAATTATCTCGTCTGTCTGACCACACCTATAATTATGTTACAATCACTGGTAACCTTTAAAACAACACTGACAATATTGTGTTGTCAAGTCTAGACACACACACACACAAATGCAAACACACACTGTCCGTAGAAGGAAACGTAATGAAGTCCAATGAGCCGCTTCATTAAAAACACAGTCTCTCACACGACCAATTACTGCCTGAAGGAAGAGCCCTAACGAGGTCAACGCCAGTACAGACCCACGAGCCCCCGCCTGGCTGTAGCTGGAACAGCGGGCGTCCAGCCAGCACCACAGAAATACACAACAAAATGCACTTAAATGGAACACTGTATGGATCAACAATCCCCAACCCCCGGTCCGTGGACCAGTACTGGTCCAGAGGTCATTTGGTACTGGGACACAGTGGAAAAAAATGTACTTCATTTTTACTAACTTACTTCATTCAAAGGAAATCCAGTCATATCCGTTTACTTCCTTACTCTTCTCCATAACTTACCTAATGCGTTTTAAACTTCTGCGGGCCACACAATACGGCTGGGTGGGCCGAATTTGGGCCTTGAGTTTGACACGTGGTTTAGAAGCTTTTTGTTAGAGTTGAGCACAAGCATTACAACAATATAAATATTGTTGAGATTTCTCCAGACCGTCTCGTGGGCCACATGTAGAGACAATCATTTGCGTACACTCCAACTCTATTACATCCAAATAATCTGCATGTTTTGGACAGTTTGAGGGAACTTGACGTGTGTGAAACCCGGCCGACGACCCTTGATGTTCCAGCTTTACTACAAGAACACTAACGGACCGGCCGTTAAGGTGTGGCGGATGAATACGACTGACTAAATAAAATGATACAACGGTATTTTCTAAGTATAATAATAATAAACGTTAAGCCACCGTGTATGCGACTTTGTTAGAAGCGTCTTTTAACTACCGCAAAGAAACGTTCCAAAGACGTTAGCTAGCTCGGGGCTGTCGATTTAGCAGTAATGTATCATGTGCCGTGGTATGGCCGTCTATAATATGACTATTGGTGTCATCTTTCAACTACCGGTTATTTGTCTTCTGTGCGTTGATGATAGTGATCAGCGTCTATCAAGACGCCTCTAATCTGCCTGTGTATAAAGGGCAGTGTAGCTTTGCTTTAGGAGACCGACTCATCAGAGGCTACTGAAGTGTACGATCTGAAACTGGATGGATGGATAATAATAATTCTTTAATTATTATTACTACTTCCAAACAGTTGCTTATTGCCGTTAAATCATATTGTTATCAGTATTATAACATTATTGTTCCAAAACGTACATGAATGGAAGGACTGCTACATGTTCGTGCATGTGTGTTTCTGGTGAAGCCACACTTGTTAGGACAACGCTGTTTTGGTGGAGACCTTTTGCAGGTCCAAGTTGAAAAAAATGATTTGAAATTAGGAACAGAAATGGAGTTAGTACAAAATGTAGCCTGAGATTAGGCATAACATCTGTAATGGTCAGGAGGGACAGCCAGGGAATGCATTACGTCTATAGAAAGTGCTCGCAAAACACAAAAACCAGTGCGTTTGTGTGTCGAATGGGTGTGACCGAGAACGAGACACACACACACAGAGAGAGAGAGAGAGAGAGAGAGAGAGAGCGAGAGAGAGAGGTGGGCGGGGGGAGAGTGAGAAAAAAGAAGAAGGAGGAGGAGGAGGAACAACCCAATAAAACTCTACTCCCTCAGCCCGGGCATTTAAAGCGTGTGCGTTACAGCGGCAGGTTTGAACTCTGTCTGATTAATTCACGCTCAAGTCGAGGCTTTTGTTTTTCTGTAGCGACCGGGAAGAGGAAGACGCCGAGACACTGGAGGTCCACAGGAGTCTGAGACAGACACAGGTCAGTGATTACTGCACTTCACACAGTTTCACGACAGGAGAGGAAGAAAGAATATTTCATAAGCATGAAGAAACTAATATATATATATATATATATATATATATGTAATATTTGTCATTGTTGTTCATATTTGTCCTCCTTGTTTGCCATATGACAATTCAGTTTTCAAATCTAACAGCCCTGCTATATGCTATATATCCAATTAGCATGTTATTATTAGATCACTCCTTGTTTATATTGAGTTATTAAATTGAGGGGAGGATCAGTTCTATGGCGAACAATAATCACAAAGAGAACCGACCATAAACGTAAACACAGCCCTGCCCTACACTAACACTAACACTAACACTAACACTAACACTAACACTAACACTAACACATTTCTAGGAAACAAAGTTTAAAGCCCCTTTTTTTCCTCTTGTAAACTCAAACTCGCAGGCGTGGAATGGGAATCCTACAATCAATACTGAAGTGAATGGATCATGGATCCTTCAATTCGCCGCTGCTTCATCTGCGGTAGTGAGCGATGATGTCAGAAGGTCAGGATTCCCCTTGTCTGGGAAACTCATCGTTAACACGGCACTGAGCTCCACTTCAGCCTCTCAGCGATGTCAGTCATGAACACGAGCGGCGTCTGCAACGGATCCTGTCACAACTTCACCTGCCATGACACCCTCACCGTGGACGAAGCCGGGAAGCCCGTGACCAGCATCGTCATGTTCCTGGCCGGGGTGGTGGGCAACCTGTTGGCCCTCTTTATCCTGGGTGTGCACCAGAAGGAGCATCGCTCCAGATCCTCCGTCTTCTGCATCCTAGTGACCGGCCTGGTGGTCACCGACCTGCTGGGCACCAGCCTCCTCAGCCCGCCGGTGTTCATCTGCTACGCCCGCAACATATCGTTGATAGGCCTGGGCGGCAGTAACCTCTGCGACCTCTTCGGCTTTGCCATGAGCTTCTTCGGCCTGGCTCCCACCCTCATCCTGTGTGCCATGGCTGTGGAGCGCTGCCTGGCCATCAGCCACCCTTATTTTTACTCCGTCCACATTCGCTGCAGCTTCGCCAAAATCACGCTCTTCTGCATTTACCTCTTCTCCTTGGCCTTCTGCCTCCTGCCGTACAGCGGCTACGGCAAATTCCGACAATACTGTCCCGGGACGTGGTGCTTCATCGACATGGACGCCACAGGTGACCAGCAGGCCAACCTGCTGCTGGCCTTCTCGCTGTCCTACTCCTCCCTCATGGCGCTGCTCATCTTCGCGGTGTTCGTGTGCAACGGCTCGGTGATCGTGAGCCTGTGCCAAATGCACCGCAGTCAGCTGATGCGCCGCGGCTCGGTGGCATCTACGGTGAGAAGGAAGAAGACGCGGACCTGGTTCGGTCGGGGAGAAGAGGAGATGGACCACGTGGTGCTGCTGGCTCTGATGACTGTCATCTTCGTGGTCTGCTCACTTCCTCTCACCGTGAGTTCACTTTTCACCCTTTGTTTTTAACACTCGCAGTTTTAGCTGCTGTCTGTCACCTTCATGCCTCATTTACACTGATGCTGATTCATGCCGTATGAATGTGGTAATTACTAATAATGGGTGTAATTGCACATGGACATTAGAGGGCATTGTTTCCACCGTTGCTCTTAAGGAATCTACTGTCTAGGGCGCATTCCGATGTAAATTCATCTGTAATTAAGTCGTGGAGGCATCAGCATCACGGTGACCGATTATGTTGTTGCCGCCGCCGCCGCTGCTGTGGTATGTGTGCGTACGCCTTGTCGCAGCCTGCCCATAATCCTTCGCTTTGCTCTCACTAAAAAAAAAAAAGGCGTGTCTGGAAATGCAGCTCTTCATAACACACACACACACACACACACACACACACAGTGTGTCCTGTATTTCTGTATGTTTGGATACATACTGGTATCTGTCCCAATTTGGGAAGGTGTGTACCAAACCTGACAACCCAGGTGGACTGGTCCTACAGTGCTCCTGTTGGCCTGGGTCCACAGCTTCCTTCACTGCCACAATGAGCATTACCCAGAAGTCTTGGGAGAACTGCAACGGTGCTTTAAAGATCGGGTAATTCAGAGGAAACAGTCAAACCGTGTGCTCACCCAGTGCCTCTGTGGTGAAGACAGTTGACTAATCTGTGGGCTGAGGTATTTGCTCAGAGTTGCGTCTGATGGCAGGCCGGGGAATGCACAGCAGTGACGGTGTAGACCGTGTGTGTGTGTGTGTGTGTTTCCGTACCGGAAAGGTTCATGTTGTTCATTTCACACACTCTTTTGTGCCCCTGTTAGGAAAACTGCCAGTTGATGTGATGCTGATCTGGATCTTCATTTTAGGCTCGTTTTTCCCCCACCTTTTTTGTCAATAATAACTGACTCATGCATTGCCACAGCAGATGTACATGCCCGTGTCGGTGTTGTGCTGTCCCCTGATTGGTCATGAACATGTACATGCTTGTGGTTTCCACAGTCAGAACCGGCAGAAGACGTGGGTCATGAGGACAGACTCCACATGACGTCTTCCACACCGCGTTCACACGGTGTTTGGACACCCTTCTGCTACTTCTTTGTTGTTATCTTATCACGGTGTTTGGACACCCTTCTGCTACTTCTTTGTTGTTATCTTATCACGGTGTTTGCAGCGAGGCTTTACAGTTTTATGTCAGGGCACTAAAATATCACTCGAAGTTGTCTCGAGAGGAAATAAGATCCAGTTGTTTTGATCTCTGTGCCAGGACGTGCTGTGGATTAAAAAAAAAAAGAAAAAAAAAATTATTTTAGTTTTTAATTACGGTGTAGTTTAAGTCACCGTCCCTGACGATTGTGGTCTTTTCTGCATAGTTCCTCGTCTTTTTCTTTTGAACAGTATGTGACGGTGTAATTGATGAAACCGCAGTTATACTTAAGACACACTTAATATAATATATCACTTCTACTGGCTTTCTGGAGCTCCGCCCCTCAGCTGCAGACTATAATCCACACACACACAACAACAACAACAACAAAAACAGTTGAAAAGTCAAAGTGTTTTTCTTTGAGTTTAAACACACACACACACACACACACACACACACACACGGCTCAGTCTCAGAACATCTCACCCACTCCAATGTTGTCTTTCATCAGTGCACGAACAGCGGTGATTTCCGCTCGGTGTTCTTGCGTAAATCCATCTGGGCGCCTGTGAAAACAATCCGACGTGTGTTTCCCATCGTTTCAGTCTAATGTAACTGAATATAATTGGAGAACTGGAGCACCAGGACATGCAGAACGGGGGACAAAACTACTAAATTAATAAAAAACAATTCTGTTGGATTACAGATTATAAAGTAATCTGTAATCTGTAATTAGAGTAAATACGATTTCAGACCAATCACTTGATCAAATTCCCAGCTAAACCTGCCAAATTAACGCCTCCTCCCCCCCATCCTTGTCCACACACGTCCAGCTGAAGGCAGTTTGTAGTACGCATGGTAAACACATTTTTAAACACAGGATGATGACATCCTCAATAATCTCCCCCTCAGGGTCCTGCATCGTGCTGCGCTAGCAAAAAGACAACAGTAATAGTAATTGGTTTGTAAATTGTTCGGTGTTTTACTGGTCTGGTTGACCTAGAGCGGAGGTTGGGCTAGTGTCCACGTCCTCAGAGGACGACTTTAATTGTGTGTGTATAAACAAGCAGTCACAAGTAGATAAAATAAAAGAGGATCTCAGTCTTTGGATTCAAAACAAAAGTTTTCATTTTCATCCCTTCATATCGGGGGCCACATCAGCATTACAGTTCCCTTGAAGGGCCGGTTGTAAATGAAAGACTATAGATCAGGGGTCCCCAATCCCTGGTCCGTGGACCAGTACCAGTCCATAGGTCATTTGGTACCGGGCTTTACTTTCTTTATATATAAGATAAAAGATGTTTTATTTTGAAATTTGAATGATCCTTCAATGCTCAAGACCTTGATACCGGTCTGTAGTAACAGGTGGTACTGGCTGACCAGTCCTTGGAACGAAAGGTCAAGGAACGCTGCTATAGATGGAACTACTCCATAACAGACTAATACATGTTTCTGCAATTGATTAAAAACTTTTAATTTCTCAGGGTAAGAAACTCTGCTGCATGGACTTTACTAAATGCTTTTTAAGCCACACAAAACGGCTTGGTGGGCCGCATTGGGCCCCCGGGCCTTGAGTTTGACACGTATGCACTACAGTGTGTGTTAGGTTTGGCTAGTGTATTCACCAGGTGTGGAGCTTGGTGACATGGCCTCGAATTCATTCCGTCGCTTGGTTGATTTGGAAGTACAGTCTGTTATTGTGTTTACCGATTGGTGAAGGTCAAAGGTCAAAGGCATGACATTTCCTCAAATTTAAAATAATAATAATAAAAAAATTACCCATATTCACATCTATCCCCTGTTCCTCGTCAGTTATGAAAATCTGGCATCTAAAACATGACTCAGCGGTAGATCCTCAGTGAAAGGTTTGTGCACATGGGAAATGCCCAAAGACTGACAGGGATGACTGGAAAGGGGTATGTTTTTTTTTGGTTTTGTTTTTTTTAAATCATGCGGGGAAACTGATCGGCTCTCATTATTTGCCCTGCAGCCACACATTAGTCGACAAAGGGGGAATTTCTGTGTTTTATTTTTACTCACATTCTGAAAAACAAGTCAATGAAATGGTCCCTCGCTGACCCTTCATCCCTGTTATGACTCAGTCTCTTCGCTTGCGCTTCTATGTAATTGAACGACTGTCAACCACAGTTTGCTCCACTTTTTCTAGTTAATATATAAAATATTGACTTCATAAATACTCCTTATATTTGCCGTTGAACTGCATTAAACAGCTGCAGGGCTGCACTGGCTTCGGCTGTTAGCTTTTTTTTTTTTTTTTCTTACTCTGTTACTCTGTACTTTACTACCCCATCCTGTTTTGGGATTAAACAGTGCTAGCCTGTGCCAGCTCTTGTTGACCTAACAGAATCTTGTGCAAGGTGACAGCTGTCAGATAAGGAGCCATTAAGCAGTAGAACTTGTGTGATGAGTGGTGTCAGTGGTCTGTTAGTGACAATTGACTGACAAAAGTACCATATGGAAAACAGTGGCTCATTAAAACACTGTGTACAGAGCAACAGTACTGCAGCAGTACGCCCATTCAATCTTGTTAAAATGTATATATAATAAAGGACGGAGCTACCTCCATAGGCGACGTGTATTAGCTAAAAAAGTTGTTATCTTTATAACACTGACTTCCTGTCGTGCTGAGTCACGTTCCGAACCGGAGAAGCTACTTCTACTTCTATGGCTTTACTGTCAAACCACAAGTGACGACAGACAGAGTTTGTCCTGTTTTCATTAATGGTCTATCGTTTTCTCACGTTTTATGGTCATATATATAAATATAGACACGTTGTTGATGTTTCAATCTGGTTTACGAAGCCTCGGAGAGTCTGGATTTTGATTACAGCTTGATGAAAAGTTCCATCCATCCATCCAAAGAGTGCGTGGGGAGAGGGGCAGGGGGGCACGGACCAATCCCAGCAGACATGTCGACATTGTCTTCCTGATGATTCATTATTTCAAATTTAGTTGGAGTGTGACAGCCGTCTTCACTCGAACTAACGGGAAAAAAGGGAAGTTGCTTTTATTCCTGTTTTGTGCAATACGGCCCAAACGTCACGCATTTGATAGGAGCTACAACCTGCCACCTACTGGCAGGTGGAAAAACTGTTGTTTGATTGATAAATCAATTTGGTCTCCATAGTGGTAGAATGTACAGTTGAGCAACATGACAACATTATTGCCTTTTACTAATGTAGTGTTACTGTTCCTCATGTCGTTTTTAGTCGAAAAAAGATGACGGTCAAAATAAGGTTCCAGTTGTCCAGAGAAGACTCTGAACAGAACTGAGGAGACACACTGTTCCTTCGCTTCATGTGTTGATCGCATTTGAATGGGTCGTCAGGGTCGTCAGGGTCGTCGGCCTCAGGCCTCTCCTCATTAGGTCTTTATTTGCTTTCTGCCCGCCTTGTCTTGAGTGATCAAAGATGCGTCCTGCAGGGAGGACTCGGCCTTTGGAGGGAAAGTGCGACAGACGTCAATAGTCCTGCTTCGTGCTGTTCCCACGAGGACAGCAGAAACGGACTGGAACACACACGTTGTTCGTCAATACGCGGATCGATGACAGCGCCGACGTCATCGCAGTCATTTACTAAAGTGATGGTGCCCTTTGTGCCCCAACGGTACTCGTAGTGAGTAGAGAGACTACAAGGGTCGCAGGTCACAGCACAAAGCCTTGGGAGATAAGGAGGGGGGGGTGAAGGGGGACAGGAAACTCCAATGAAATTATTTTAGAATCCGGTTATGGGGCAGATGGAGTAGTTTGGTGGCCCGAATTCGGGGCTGCGGGCCACTAGTTGATGATCACTGATATAGAGCGTCACCCATTTCTCTCTAACTTAAC